GTTGAAGCCGAATATAGGGCTATGGCACATGGTGTTTTAGAATTAATGTGGCTACGATCCCTTTTAGAAGAATTGGGAGTTGACTATGAGAAGCCAATGATGCTCTACTGTGACAACCAAGCAGCTATCAATATTGCACATAATCCTGTTCAACATGATAGARCTAAGCACATTGAGGTTGATAGACATTTTATACGGGAAAGAGTTTCCTCAAGAGAAGTTTGTTTGCCATTCATCACCTCATAAGAGCAGCCGGCTGATATTTTGACCAAGGGAGTTCCGAGAGGGAAACTGACACACTATATAAGCAAGCTGGGCATGATTGACATCTATGCTCAGCTTGAGAGGGAGTGTAAAGAGGCTGGGCTGAATGGGCCCTAGTATCTTTTCTTGTAGTATGTTTTATTTATTTGTTAGCTAATGGGCCTGTTATTTCTTTTGCCAGTTCTCTTTATGTTGCTGCCTAGTTGGCCACCCACTTAAGGGTATACTTATAATTATGTTAAGATTGAAGTTTAGTAAAAGGATTAGAGAAGGGAGGGAAGAGACATTCGAATTCTTCTTCTTCCTCCTCTTTTCTCCATCTTCATTCTCTTGTACTGCTGTTCTCTTCTTTTCTTCCTCTTTTTTCTCTAATTTTCCCAAGCTTACATCAGATTTAGAGGACTGATTTACAACTCTTTTCAAGAAACATGATCATATGAAAGTGGAAGTCTACACCGATGCAAATTGGACTGGAACAGTTGATGATAGGAAATCAACTAAGGGATATTGTACCTTTGTTGGTGAGAACTTGGTCACTTGGAGAAGCAAAAAGCAAAGTGTAATGGCCAGATCTAGTGCTGAGGCCGAGTATAGGGCCATGGCACATGGAGTTGCTGAAGTACTATGGGTGAAGAATTTGATTGAAGAGTTAGGCCTCTCGATTGATGGCCCAATGTCTCTCTATTGTGACAACAAGGTAGCCATTAATATTGCAGCCAATCCAGTTCTTCATGACAGGACTAAGCACATTGAAGTCGACAAGCATTTCATAAGGGAGAAACTTGAAAAGGGAGAAGTTTGTACTCCTTACATCAGTTCCAAGGAACAACTAGCTGATGTCCTTACAAAGGGTCTTCACTATTTGCGACATAATGAACTGTGTGACAAGTTGGGCATGATTGACATATATGCTCCAACTTGAGGGGGAGTGTTGTCATGTGTATGTAGAGGCTTGTGGCCTACTAAAGGGTCTTTTTGTCTTTTCCGCAGTGTATTAGTTATGAGTTGTCGCCCTAAGTATAAATATTAACTTAGGTGCCGCCAACCACTCAACTTGGAATAGATCTCTCTTTTCTCTCTTCTCTCCTCTCTTATCTCTTCTCTCTTCTCTCTTCTCCCTTCTCTCTTCTAGATCTGTCGAACTAGATTAATAACATAGGTAATGGGTTTTACCCAATTAAGACACAGGCTTTTATTTGTCAGCAACTAAAAACTTTATTGATTGATGATAATGTTATATTTCAGTACCCAGGCGGGAAATTTGGCCTAGCACCTAATAGCCATCCCTCTTTACAAATTTCTATTTTAGGGAACCAAGCCCCTAGAAAAATCGATCTTTGGTTTCTCCTTGTTTTGCTAAGTCATCTCTACTGTTGGCAGATCTCCAATAACATGCCTATATGTCCAGAACCATTGAATTTTCCTTTTAGCCATCTAACCAATTATGGTCTGTATATATGAATGCACGTGTGTATGCTTTATAAATGTTTGTCATGGTTTATCTATAATAATTTAACATAAGATGTCTAAGGTTGTCACTTTATAGGGGAAATATAAGATATTTTGAGAAAATAGATTAAGGAGGTTTGTAGTTTTATACTTTCATTGCCAAAATACCATGCTAGAGACATCAGTTTGGGTCTTACCAGTCAGACTTGATACTCCCAATTATTAATAGGATCAGTTTACTTATAGACCCTGTTGGAATTAAGTCTATGTATCTTTTTTATTGGCTAGAATCAGGTCTACCCAGACCTAACCCATTCACAGCCCTATCTCTAGATGCAAACTACTAGAGAAAACTTAATGGTGCTGACTTCATTAGGATCTATCTTCAGTTTGTAGCAAGTATTATATTTATTGATTGAATATTAGTTTATTAAGTTTTTATCACCATTCTCATATTACATTTTTACCATTAATCTTTATTTCTTCATCAGTAAGTCATCTCCAATAGTTACTTTTAAGCTAAATGTCATAACTTAGCAAGTTGAGGACCTTGTCTATTCTAGCTCAATAAAGATCATTCCAGTCACTATAAACCTGAAACTTGAAAGCAGAAGCCAAGCATATATTCCTTTGTCAATTAAGCAGCAAAAAAGGGAACCCACAGTATTTGCCACTCTGATATAGAGGAGCCTAGGAGATTATTAAGATAGATATACCAAGAAGAAGAAGAAAACATGCGAGATTCAAACCTATGCATGGTAACAAAGCAAAGTGTCAGTCAATTTTCAATGATCAATTTCCTTAATACCTAAGAAATCAAATTTAGGTACTAAGCACAACTGCCTCATATTTCAAAACATTTCCCGATTCAAACTCTAATTAAGTAAACTCAACAAACATAATTGCAGTTCCCTAATAAAGCAATACAAAATTCTAAGACTCCTAAATTAGCAAATCCTCCCAACACAAACTTGTATCTCAATTGTTGGATATAACTTAAACCATATTCGAGACACATGATCATTTTATTTCATAAATACATAACTAGACTTCCAAACAATACCAAATTCAAATTGTTTGAAACTTTTGAGCATACCAAAAATGGCCCTTGGAAAAATGATGGTATAATTGAATTTCCAATATAATTCTTGACCTAAAATCCATATCTTATGGTAGATTATGAGTTTGATTCCTCCCATTCAGATTCTATGGGCAGAGCTTGACATTATTTACCTCCATTAAAAGTCATCCTTGAGATTTTAAGTATTTGAGCATAAAACTTGGCCCATGATCACAATAAACCTCAGTCCTCATAAATGCACTAACTTTGAATTCTATGCATCTTATGGAAAATTAAGAATGATACTCAAAATAATGTTGTTACAAAATACCCCATGCCAGGCTTACCATACTGTTTCTTTGAGTGTTTTACTTTAACTTTACTTCAGCACCACTAGCTCATATATTTGCTTCATCACTATCTTGTTGTTCTCAGCAAGCTTCTTCAATTCTTCAATTGGAGTTTTGACTACAAGTGTCATATGCTTGAATCTTGATAAATACATCCTTCTTCACCTTCAGTTTAATTATATTGTCCTCTGAATGATCAAGCCAGTAAGCAATCAGGAACATCACATTATCTCGCTATTGTTGAGTCTTTCCCTAAAGGATCTCCACTATGTGAGAACATTGTAACATAACGTTGGTTAATGTTACCAATTTAATGTAGGATGGAAAAATCAACTAGAATTGGTAGAAATCTGATATAATGGAAAAGGCCAAGAATAGGTACACACAAATAAGCAGATAGAAGAGTCACCATCTCTTCGAAATCCAACTACCAATTCAAACCACTTAATATGAGGCCTTCAATGAAGTAACACCAAAAAAAATGGTATTTTGAGAGAATCAAGATCAGCCATTATGTAGTGCATAATAAAATCTCAGATCTCAGAACAGTCACTTTGTGCGAAAAATAAATGCTAAAGGTTAGGACGATATCCAGTCTACCCTGGATAGTCAAGACCATCATTGGGTAATGGCCTTTAGAGAGTCAAAACTCAAGAAAAATAACAAAGGAAATCACATTCAAAATTTTCTTTGAAAACTGGATCAGACAGAGAACCAGGAAGGGGTTTTTCATGGTTCTACCAGTTTGATAATAGTTCAACTGGATTGATTGTTAATGACATAAATATGTTCATTTAAAATATAGTTATAAAAGTGGAATTCCTGGTTTAACACCAGTTCAGCCATGGTTCAACCACATTTTTATCAGTCAATGGTTTCTGACCATATTCTGAATGGTCCACTCTTGGGACCAGAAAGGGGCCTGGTTCCAGTTGAACCTACAGTTTCCAAAACATTGAACTTAATTTTCAATAATCAACATCTTTCTATAATAAAGATTGATCCTGTACTCAGATGCATATGCGATGTCTAAATACTTCCATTAAGACTCAAGAAATCAGTCTGACATACCAAATACAACTACTCACTTTCAATTACTAAAGAATTCCTATTTTGACCCCACCTTAGACAAGTATATTCTAAAAATTGAAAGCTGAATTCTGTGAAACTGGAAACCCTCTAAAACACTTCCCAAACAAAATAGAAAATTCTAAAATTACTGAATTGGTGAAATTGCTTATTCAAATCATGTACAAAATCAGAAGACTTTTGGATCATTGGAGTAGGTAACTAATAAGCTTCACAACAGCACCAAAAGGAAGGTGTTTGGGTACTTTTGGTTTTGCTTTAAGAAAACTAATAGGATTTTGACTTTCTAACATGTCTTGATTCCAAGCTTTGCATCTTATGTGTATGTATATAATTGCTTGCTTCCATTAACATCCTATCCATCGGGTTATATGACAAGAAGCATAGTTCTGAACATGAAATGCAAAAGAAGCACCCAAAGACATAATTGAAGAAAACCAGAATGGGCATTACTTCTAGGAAAAGAAAATGGAACATTATATTCCCAATGTTATTAATGATACACCCAAGGTCAAGGTTTCTGATAATATAGTAGAAATTACTCCCAGTTCCTAACTTCAGCTAGAAAATTGCACAAGCTAGTCCAAAGATCAGCAACTTAATGTCATCGGTGAAAACATCATAACTCATAGTTAATAAACTAAGGGCTATCCTAGTAAGCCAATTAACTCATATTTATCTGTTTTACCTTAAAGTCCGTTTAAGTTATTGCACTTGTACAATTTAAGCACATAAAACGAATTATTATAAAAGAAAATAAAGTTAGGGGGTTGTTAACAATGTTTTACCTTTCTGAACTCTGGCCTGCAGGAAACGGGCTATCAACCCCAAAAGGCGTTGGCTCTGAAGAACAAGAATTCCACTTACAATCACTTCACTAACTGAGTCTGGCAAGTCAAGCCCTACAAACTCAAGCCCTTGGACCAAGCTGGGCATGGCTAATAAGATGTGTGCGATTACATACACTCCCATAACAATAGTAGAAACTACTGTAAAATTTGCAAAATATTGGAATGCGAGCTTCCAACCTGACTGTGGCTCCACCTGCAAAGAAGCCAAAACCAGCTCCTTGTCGGACCCAAGGTCCTTCAAATCAACCTTCTTAACATTTTGAGATAACAAATCAGCAAACTGCTCAAAGCTGTCCTTAAGACCTTGTCGTGCCCCACCTTCTATCATACTTTTCATCATAGTGCTCTGTATAAAGTTCATGCGCCATGATATTATCAACCGTGATGATAGTTCTTCTCTAGGCAGCTCAGGTCCAGGTGTAATACAGAAGAGCAATTCCGTCTTGAAGGTGCTCCCATACATAACATCTGGTGTGCTTACGCTTGACAAAACTGCAAAAACCTTCCCATCAGCTTTCAGATATACCTGTTCTTCGGTTGCTTTCACAGCCTTGATCAATTTAGTTGCAGCCTTTGTGTATGTAATTACTCTTTTTAAGTTCTCCGTGCAATTGTCACATCTCCAAGGTCCTTGTTGGATTTCAGTGGTTCCTTGCACCTCTGCCAACGATTTCTGGAAATCTGAATCAGGTGAGAAGAGTAGAGAATTCAAGCTGGACGGTGCAATAATATAAGATTGATCGAGAAGTATCCCTCCTGGTAAATTGCCAGGTACCTCCCCACCTTGATCTCTTTCTGACATGCTCCTTATTGCTTCTTCAAAATTGCCACCAAAGGACTGTTCTTCGGATTTATTCTCATTAACTTCAACTTTGGACGTCTCAGGTGAGTCCACGGTAGCAATACTTCTACTGCTAGCGCTAGGAGATATTGTTTCCCCCTGTTTAAGAAAAATTTGAGCTATCAGACCACTAAGTGTCTGTGATGACATTTTTTCATCCTTTGCAGAAATGGTCTCCTCCATTCCCGCTGCATAAGGGGATTTTAAGGGTCCACTGGGGGATCCAGAAAATGATTCACTTATTAAGTCGACAGAATTCCTCATTTGTGGCACATTATCACCAGTACGGGACAATTTCTCGTCTAAGAAAGAGTTGTTTTGAGATAAAGATATGGTGAGAAGAATTTCGCCTGCCAAACAAAAAAGCGAGAGAGAGATAACCAACAAATTTATAAAACCATAAGCAATAGAGCAATCGCATTTCTGCAATAAGAACAATAATGCAGTTAAAAATTATAACATCAAATGACGGAAATAAATTTTGGTTATAACTGCTTATAAATCAAAAAATTTAAAAGCAATAAATTTCAAAAGGAAACCGTAATAAAAATATCCCCACCAACCCAATAACACAACAGGAGAAACAGGAAGCTGATTATGGGAGTGCATACTACATACCACATTCTTTGTTCTTGGACTTCTTCTTATTCTTGGGTTTCAGAGGATACCAGGTAGTGCCGAGAGACTTATTCTCGGCGTCGAAAACCTTGGAAACGGGCACTTTGAGCTTGCCCACGAAGTCGTCGTTGAAGTATTTATCCTCGACTAGAACAGAGACAACGAGCTTTTCACGGAGGTCCTCAACCCCAAAACTGAACTCCTCGCCCCAAGAAGGATTCAAGTTCTTCTTCAACACCTTCGTCTTAAATTTTTGCTTTCCCAGGTGTAACCGAACATAAGTATCACTTGAACCATTAAGATCCAATGCGCGTAGATTTCGCGCTTCGATCACACGTACCAAAAGCTTCATTTTTTTTCTTTTTTGTGTGCAAATTAAATGAAAACGCGATTTATCATTTACGTTGAAAATTGAAAAATTAGAAATTAATCTTACAAAAGAAAATAAAGAAAGAATTCTTATTCTTTAATAAAGAAAAGAATTTTACAATGGTTTCGTTTTTTATTAATTACAGATTACATAAACAAAAGGATCCCATTTGAGCAGCAGAAAATCTTATTTTTGTCACAGATGGGAGGAAAAACAATAGAATCATACATTAATGAATATGAACAGAAGTATCAACTGAAAATAAAGAATACAAAAAACTCAAATCAAACAGAAGGTTCAATGTGAAGAAAAGAAAAGAATGATTAAAAAATGAATCAAATAAAATAAATAATTCTGGTAAAAAAACATAATAATTTAGATAGGAAAAGAGAAAGATGGGGAAATATTGAGAAAAAAATGAAGTGGGACCAATAAATGGATACAGAATTTTGATCACCAAAAAACAAAAATACAGAAGAAGAAAAATCAAAACTGCATAACTCGAGAAAAGAAAATTAAGATCACGAAAAGCCTTCAGAAAATCCTAATTTCCGAAACGGAAATATCGAAATCCAAATTGACAAGAGAGAGACCGAAAGAACGAGGCATGAAAATGAAAGCCAAAGAGACTCCATATCCATTCTTTGCCTGGTCTAAGTTTGGAAATTCATACGCACCTTAAATAAATAAAGTAAAAATAGGGGAGGAGGAATCCTCGTCATTGAGTTGTGATTGACTGATTGGGGTCTCACACATGATCTGACGTGGTTAAATTAATTGTGACGTGGCAGATCAAAATCTCGATGGGGATAGCCCTGTGACCCTGTCTCCAATCCTGATGATTGCTGACGAAGGCGGGAATGGATCACACTCCCCAGGTCTCGTCTCCCTATAACCAGCAAGAGACTTTACCCGTTTACAACCGATGATCTGACATTTTTAATGCCCAGAAATTGTCGGATGACACGTGGCTAATAAAAAAGAGTGGACTCTCCTAAAAAGCGGTGAGTATTCGGGGCGAATCCCGATTCCCTCCTCACACCCACCTGAACCATCTCACACTTTCACAGTAATTGCAGCCGTGCATTGGTTCGCATTCGGAACACCTCCCATGAATGAAAAGAAAATCAAAAGATACGTATACGACGGGAGTCGGGAGATATTGTCAAGGAGGAAATTCGAATTCTTTCGGGGCATGATTTCAGCCAGCGGCACGAGGCCATGGCCATCCACTCATTGAAATTTGGGTGGATTTCGCCGGTGTGTATCGGTTTTCGAGGTCATTGAAACGTGAAATATTATGATTCAGAGGTTTCACTGAAGGTTTCACCGGTTGTAAATTTCATTTGCCCTGGTGCAAACAAACGGACTGCAAATAACAGTGGTCCACAGCCCACACACTGAATCGATCCATAACAGATTTTCTACATTAAAAAGAATAATCAGATGAATCTTCCCTGATATCAAAAAGCAGCTCTTCAACTTTACCAGAATTCTCATTGTCAAAATGGCATCTGTATGATCTTTACCCAATTGATCTCTTCCACGAAGCCRGCGGTATATCTCCGGTGGTATATCTCGGTTCTCTTAACATGCGATACATGGCAATATACCGAGTCCAAAACATACAAGTATGGAGATATTCCAAATACACAGTTGCAAGTGGCTGTGAGGACAGTGTGAGCAGTCTTGTGAGAACTGAATCCAATGTCCCATATTACGTTTCTTGTATCTGCAGGCCCAAGCTTCTAGTTGCATTAATCTATAAAATGCATGCATGATTATGTCAAATTTAGTTCTGTAGTTCAATTGGACGAACCCAATTTTGCCTCACACTGGTTTGGCATGCCATTAAGCTCTAATAACTAATGATGGATGGAACCCAAAACTCAAATTTCGAAAATGCAAGGATTTGTTCTGGTGAAAGAAAATTAACAGAAGCAGCAGTAAGTGTTCATGCATATAGAAGACGGCATCACAGGTAAATTAAAACATAAATGGACAAAGAAAACAAATTAGGAAAAGAAAGAAGTGGAATTTTATATCATCCCCGTTCTCCTCCCTTTGCGATTGTTTCTTCATGCCCTCATTACTTCTGCCTTTTGTAAATCTTCTCCAAGAAGGACTCCAACACAGCTTGCACTGCTTTGCTTGGATGATCTTTAATGGAGGAGATCAACTTTTTATAACTCTCCTTCTCATACTCTTCAAATACACCCTGCAATGTTAAAAAAGAACATCAAATGGGATACTCCAACCCAATGTGCAACTTATTTACAATATACACATGGAAGACAGAAACTTGGTTTGCATTTGTACTCCTTCTGAACTGAGCCTGAAGGACTCTAAAAAAGAGCAGCCCAGTGCATGAGGCTCCCGCCAATGCGGGGTCTGGGGAAGATGTGCGCAGCCTTACCCCTGCACAATACAAAGAGGCTGTTTCCAACATTTGAACCCTGGTCACCCAGGTTGCAATGGAGCAACCCAACCATTGCACCAAGGTCCACCCTCTGAAKGACTCTCATATCTCAAAAAATAAGGCACAAGTATTATTATAACAATATAACTAGATCAAGAGTGCCCAATAACAAATATCCTACGGGTTCCGTAGTACCATAATGGAGTTCTAATATCTGTTTTAGCTAGCCCAACCCCCATTGAGCTCTATTCTAGTCTTCTAGGTCAAACACACCTATTATTTGGAGTATCAACCTCTGCTACAGGTTAGACTATGCCATGCCTCTTTATGTCCAAAAATAAATGTTACAGTAGTGAGACATCAATTTGACAGAAAGCATGCCTCTTGATAGAGCACAATGGTAGGACAGGATTTGTGTAGCCGACCCCAAATAATTGGGATTTAAAGCCGAGTGTTTCTTAGGCAAGGCTGAGTTGAGTTGTAGATACATTAATAATGATTCCACATTTATATATCCCAATGCATTTTTGGTCTGTTTACCTCACATGTCTCACCCTCTCTATTCAACAATTGTAGGTACTCTGATTGCAGATGTCCTGGGGAGACTGATACATAGAGCCGATTCTAGAGACTTAATAAGAGGTTGGAGAGTCAGAAGGGGGGAAGTACCACTTACACACTTGCAGTTTGCAGATGACACAATCCTATTTTGCGAGGGTGGGGATATAAGATGGATCAGAAACCTAAAACTAACAATACAACTCTTTGAGCAGATGTCTAATCTTAAAGTGAACTTCGATAAGAGTTGTATGGTGGGAGTGAATTTGGATGAAAAGGGAAGTAAGTGATTGTGCAGGTGTGTTAGGGTGCGCTATCTCGGAGTGGCCTATCATTTATTTGGGCCTCCCCCTAGGAGATAACCCCAAGAATGAAAGCTTTTGGAACCCGGTAGTAGAGAGATTTGAGAAAAGGCTTGCTTCTTGGAGGAAAAATTATCTTTCTCTTGGAGGGAGAATCACCTTGTTTAGGTCTACCCTTTCCAACCTTCCTATTTACTTCATGTCAGTGCTCAAGATTCCTACAAAGATCTCCAACAGGACAGAAAAATTAATGAGGGATTTTTTATGGGAACCAAGAGTGGAGAAGAAAGACCATAGGGTGAGGTGGGAAGTGGGAAGTGGTAAATAGGAGCAAGAAGCTAGGGGGGCTTGGGATTGGAAATATCAGGCAAAGGAACGTGGCATTATTGGGGAAATGGTTGTGGAGATTCCTATTGGAAAGGGACAAATTGTGGACGAAGATTGTGGCTAGCATATATGGGCTGGATGAGAATGACTGGGATTCTGGAATTTTGGCAAGGACTACTGTCGCAATCCCATGGAAAGCCATTCATGATCTGCTTCCAGTTTTCTCCCCTTGGATCAGGTACGACTTGAACTCCGGTAATCGAATAAAATTCTGGGAGCAAATTTGGGTTGGGGACCTACCCCTA